CAATGATCATTTAGACACAAAATCTCAACATAAAAAAATTTGAAATGTCATCATTTTAGTAGGTACCTACTAAGGTAGCTCCCTTATGACTTAAAGATAGAAAGTGCTAAAGAAAATCACATTTCTAACTTTGGACATTCACCAAAGAGATCCAAATTAATTGAATCAAAAAATCCAATTTCTAAGTCAAAAAGTCTGAGGATCAAAGTTCAATTGTGTGAAAAAGCATATTTTTTCCTATTCTCAGGGCTCAAACTGCACCTAAAGAACCAAAAAACTGCAATAATTTTTGAGTCAAAGGGGGTTTGGGATCAAACTTCAATTGAAATGTTTTAAAATGAAGCTTAATTTATTCCTATTCTCAAGTCTCGAACTGAGTTTAAGAAGCAAACAACTTGAATTTCCAACCTTCGAACAAGGAGATCCGAATTGAATCAAAAAATCCAATTTCTGAATTCTGAGTCAAAGAGTCTAAATTCAATGTTCAAATGGAAGGTTTTAAAAAGCTCATTTTTTGATCCTTGTGAAGTTGAAATTCAACTGAAGATCTTCCAAGGTGATGATTATTCTATAGAAGTATGAAATCCTATGAGTTGCAAAATACTTATTACCGGCTGCACTAGAGCTGGAATTGAATCAGAAAAGTATGAAACTTGTATTTCTGAGTTGGCAAGAGCAGAAAGCTGATTATCGATCCTCATCCTAGCAAAGAAACTCAAGTAGAGACATGTCTAAACTTGATTAGTTTTCTTTTAGCTGATATTGATCTACTGAAATTCTGGTATAAAATATTTTCTTCATAGACCTATAACTTTTTTTCTATTATAGATAGAAAACTGAAATTTTTAGTAATTCTTATATCAGTAGAGGACTACAATCTCTGAAAATTTCAGCTCATTTGAATGTATGGTTCCAGAAATAAAAGGGTGTTAAGCAATTTGGGGTACATTTTTCAATTTTCTGAGTGCCTTTTTTCATAGATTTCGGCATCAAATCTCAGAACAAGTTAGTGTATGGAGTTTGGGTTAGTTATATATCATATAAAATTTTGAAATTTTATCATTTTAGTACTCTTATGATTAGGACTTTTAAAAACTTTAAGACCCATAACTTTCTTTCTATTAGAAATACAAAGCTGAAATTTTCAGCGATTTCTATCCCAATGGAGGACTATTATCCTTGAAAATTTCAGCTCATTTGGACTTATAGTTCCAGAAATAAAATCGTGTTAAGCAATTTGGGATAAATTTATCAATTTTTCAATTTTCTGAATGCCTTTTTCCATAGAGTTCGGCTTCAAATCTCAGAATGATTTAGTGTATGGATAGTTTAAGAAAGTGCAATTTTTGGTAAAATGTAATAATTTGAAATTTTCTTGGATGGTAACTATCGTACTTATAAGAACTTGAGTTCGTCTCGTTGATGAAAGAGACTGTAGAAAAGTCCATAAGAAACTCACTTTAGCAACGTTTCGTATTTATTTAATTGCTTCATCAATACTGGAAAATTCAACGAGATAAAACAAGAAGTCAAAAATTCAATTGATCAATTAATTTCCTCTGAAAATTTCCAGTGGGGTCAGGAAAACTACCCAAGAAAAAAAAAATATGCCCAATCTTCAATAATAACTGTGAAGCTTCAAATTCTTTGAGTATGAGCCTCTATAGATTGTTCAGAGCTTTCAGGTCCTTTGAAATTTTCAGTCTTCAGTATCTTGGAGTCTTTAAATTCCATAGTCTTTGTGTTTAAAAAAAATTAAATTCTTAGAAGCTTTCAGGAGTTTTCAGACTTTTTGTGACTTTAGAATCATGACCCAAAATAACCTGAAGACTTCAAAAGCCTTGAAATTTTTTTATATTTCGTTGAGTGCCTTATACGCTCCAAGAAATTTCAAATTCTTTATAGCCTTATTTAAAATAAAAGTATCAAAAATCTTTGTCTTTTTCGTGTCTTTAGAATCTTTGTTCTATACTTTTAGATTTTGAATTCTACGGTATTTCGAGTCCTACTATATAATCGAATTTCTGCTCTATATGAGCTTCAAAAATGTCGTATAAACTGTTAATAAAAACGAAGCATTTTCGCAAAAGCTTCAAAAAGTTTTATATAGAAACTTCAGATTTGGAGAATATTAAAGCTTTTCGACTTCGTAGTCAGTCTTTAGGGTTTAATCCTAGACTCTAAAATTATCAAATTCTTTGACGTTTGAAAAGACTTTAGTCTTCATTTATAAGATTTTTATGCCTTTCATCGAGTTTACGAGGTTCAGAAATGTTCTTTTTACATTGCTCTGGGTCAACTTTAACTCTAGAAAAGTCAGAAATCAGAGTTTTATACTTACCTAGTTCAATTTTAGCTCTAATAGAAAATGTACGCTTTTCAATTTCAAATTTTAGCTCTATAGGATATCCGGAAATAAAATTTTCACGACTCTAATTCAGTTTAAGCTCTGCAAGAGACAAAATAATGTCTCAATTTTAACAACTCTCAAAATATTCAAAACCTCGGTTAATACCTAGGTACCTACTCAATGTTTTTTTAGGTCTGTGTGAGAATCTAATACAAATTGAGTTGATTTTATGTTGTAGAATTTCATAGAGTAGAATGGAATGAATCAGAAATTCTCTAGGAAATTTCCTCGGAAGGTTCTTGGGAATTTTCGAAACTCTGCTGCCCTAGGAATTTACTCATCACAATAGATATTTATTAAAAGCAAAGATTTAGGAATTGAATGACAGACAATCAGATTCCACTAGTAATTTTATTGTTGATCATCAAATGTTTAACGAGGAAAAAACGAGCAAAATAGATGAAAATATTGGAAAAAAACTAAAATAAAAGGTAGAAAAATAGCGGAGAAAGACTAGAGAAAAAAGCGTGAAGCGATTTCTATTCCAGGCTCTTGAATTTTAGGTCCGGTATATCCATTATCAGATAAACAAGTTGTTCAAGTATAAATACATAGATGAGTTCAAGTACAATCAGAAAGTAGATAATCTCACAAATTTTGAGTTTATGTAACAAGTTGTTTAAGTACAAAATGAGTGGATTACTACAAAACTCATGGGTGGACCTCTGCGGGACGAGCGCAGCGAGTTCCGCAGCCATCTACTCATTTGTACTTACAACTTGTTACAAGAGTAATCTACTCATTTGTACTTGAACAACTCGTTGTTACAAGTTCTTCAAGTATAACCAAAAAGTGGACAATCTTACAAATTTTGAGTTTATGTAACAAGTTGTTCAAGTACAAATGAGTAGATTGCTTTTGTAACAAGTTATTCAAGTAAAAATAAGTAGATGGCTGCGGAACTCGCTGCGCTCGTCCCGCAGAGATCCACCCATGAGTTTTGCAGTAATACACTCATTTTGTACTTGAAGATCTTGTTACAGAAACTCAAAATTTGTAAGATTATCCTCTCTGGTTGTACTTGAAGAACTTATGTTATACGTTTTTCAAGTACAAATGAGTGGATTACTGCGGAACTTTATTTGTACTTGAACAACAAGAAAATATGATTTGGAAATCATGTTAGAGTCTTTTCGAACCCAATTTGGACCAATTAGAAAAGTAAAAATTCTGTATTTTTTCACTTTTTTTGATAGTTTTTACCTTGAATGTTACTAGACTTTAATAAGAAATTCCTGGAATATTTTGAACATCCCAACAACTATATCCTTTGCATAGGTATTCTAAGAAAATCTGTGGGAAAAGGAAAATTTTGGCAGAATATTTTTAAAAAGAAGAGTAAAGATAAGAAATTCAAAAATCGAGAAGTGTATGGAGTTTGGGGGGTCTCCAGTGATCATTTAGACACAAAATCTCAACATATAAAGTTTTGAAATTTCATCATTTTAGTACTAAGGTAGCTCTCTTATGATTAGGATCTTTAAAAACTTTGAAGACCCATAACTTTTTTTTCTATTAGAGATACAAAACTAAAATTTTCAGCGATTCCTATCCCAATGGAGGACTTCTATCCCTGAAAATTTCAGCTCATTTGGACTTATAGTTCCAGAAATAAAATCGTGTTAAGCAATTTGGTGTAAATTTATCAATTTTTCAATTTTCTGAGTGCCTTTTTTCATAGATTTGGCTTCAAATCTCAGAATGATTTAGTATATGGAGTTTAGGGGGTCCCCCAATGATCAGTTAGACACAAAATCTTAACATAAAAAAATTTGAATTTTCATAATTTAGTACTAAGGTAGCTACCGATGTTTATTTTAAGTATTTTTTTTAATGAACAAGAATTTTGCTGCGTATTTTGCTGGTATTTAAAAATAGTCGACTAATCGACAAATACCCAAGTCTGGTACATCTTTAGTTTTTATCTGTCAGATTGCATTACCTGACAGTTTGTCAGAAGGTGAATAAACCGGGCCTTCATATTATAACTGGAGTAGGTATCTTTTACTGGCGATTTTAGGGGATTTTTCTAGATTTCAGACATCAGCATGAGAAAAACTTTAATTTTATTTCCCAGCCTCAAATCTGCTTCAGATTTATTTTTCTTTATCAAAAAGACTTTAATTTACAAATCTTGAAAGTTTAAATTTCTCTTGAAGTATTAAGAGCTATGGAGACTCATTTTTAAGGATTTTTAAATAAAGACTGATTCCAGAATTCAGGACTTCAAAATGTAATGAGTCCAAAAATCCTAGAAACTTCCTCTTAACCTCTTTGAAGAGATGACTTCAAAGATTTTGAAAACTTCAAAGTACCTTGTGGCCTAAGATTTTTGACTAAATGATTTGGTGATTCCAAGAATTTCAAAGCATCATTTTTCAAAATTTTAGAATGTAGATTTAAGAGTAAAGCAACTGAAGTTCTTGGTTCAAAATCTTTGAAGACTTTAAATTCTAAACAATCTGAATCTCCAGCAATAACCAGCAATGCCATCCCATTAGTCTTGTATTTGTAGTGCTCTTTCTACCCTTAAAACCTTTACAGTAAAAGTTGCTTCTATGCTTGTTTTTTTTGGCTTCCCTTTTTGTAGATGTACATGCAGCTCTATCACGTGGCCACCGGTCCCGCACCAACAGCTCTTCCGGAATAGGTGAGACCGATTTTGTGCTTTTGCAATCCTCCTCTGTCGGTCACATGCACTGGCAACCTGTCAGCATTTCGATCGCTGGCTACTCGGAAAGTCTCAGCGAACACAGTTCGAGGTGTAACTCGCAACCACCTTCACCAGGTAAGTAAACCAATTTTCACTCATAATTATAAGTACAAGTGTTTAATACATGAATAAATATGGAAATTCTTTGTCGTAGTTCAAGAACGTCGCTATTCAACAGGCAATAACAAGTCGAGCGTAAAATTCGTCCAAGAAGTTCCAACAAGAGGACGTCACGTCGTAATCAAAACCGATTCGGATTCACAAAGAGTCAGTATATCTTCGAAAAATTCCACAGTTGTGTACGAAAACAAGCCAACCAATGATCAAAGGCCCAATTCCCTTAAGTTAGCCAAACCAAGGCCTTCTCTTAGATGTAGATCCAAAAGCATTGACAACAGTAACTACAAAGACCGCCTAAAAGAGAAAATGTCTAGCAGAGATAAACTTCAACGCTTCAAAGAAAAACTGCTCCAATCTAGTCCAGATTTAAACGAGACAAGTGACAACGAAAGCACTCCATTAGTCTCAGAAGTTTCATCACCTTCAATTAAATCAGGACAAAATTCCGAGCACAAAACATCAGTGTCGGGCAGTTTTCCAGCCTCCCCAGCATCTCAGAAAAGCCTCAGTCCAGACAATATCAGAAAATATCAAACCAGAAGCGAACAAAACTTAACAGACACTTTTGGCCACATGGCTGATAATTACGAAGCCGAACAAGAAGAATTTGTAGAACGGGCCCGAGTGCGCACTAGAAGCTTATCAGGCGATTCTGACAGCTCGTTAACTGATTTTCTAATGGACACACGTCTGAAAGATAATTTAAGTAATAGTAATTGCAGTTTGCAAAGTATGTCACATAGTTCTGGGCATTTGTCCAGACAGAATCATGTAGATTCTGAAGAGGATTTGACAGATGTTTATTGTAATCCTTCTAGAATTAATTAGAGAGTATTATTTTAGTTGAAATAATTAAATGAATTTATTAGAAGTAGGGATTAAATTATTGGAAAATTACTTATTGGTTTTATTTGGAATGAAAACTTGTGGGTAAGGGGCTTAAAAGTTTATTTTGGTTACAATTATCATCATATTTTGCCTAACAATACCACACTACTTAGCTGCAATTTTGTTATATTTAGCCTACAAGCATTGGTTTCTTCTTTAGCAATACCAAGTTCTATCATCTTGCTCGGTGGTTGCTGGTCCACCATTCATCATTAAATACCCACCATCATTATCATTTTGTCAAATTTCTGGTTTGTATTTAGGCCTGACATAGGGCGGTGGGCTTGGACGACAATGCACTCCCCTAAGAATAGTAGAATTGGGACTGTCGTTGTGGCTACGACTAAATTTTTGCAATTTTAGTCTCCAAGATATGGAAAAAGTTACCTTAGGAAGCATGACGTCTGGAGACATGCTATGGTCTCTGTCCAAGGAAATACTTCCTAGAGTGTCTGTGCGATTTTTAGCCAGAAAACGCTGAGAACTGGATTGGAGTTGTGTGGTTTCTTCAGAAACAATTCTGTTGGATTTTTATTAATTAGCATACAATTTAATTGAAATATGAATAAAATCCTTAACTCAACGTCAAATTAGTATGTAGAAAAAAGGCATTATTTACTTTGCTCAATCAAACCTTTACCTTTGATTATACCAATCGAGGCAAATATGGAAAATATTGTTAAAGAAAAAGTCACTTGCCTCATCTTTCCTAAAAAAATAATGCCTAGCGAAAACTTCCTTGGAGTCAAATCAAACATATTATAACTATTCAAAAAATATGATACAAAATTAATTATTTCAAAGTTACTTACATGTCGTCATGTTCCAAGCACAAAATGAAAGTCAAAGCTAATATCAAAACAGTCATAATAATCATAGGCAACGATATAGCCATAACCAATTCCCTTTTATAAGACCTCACAGGAATATCTGCCCTACTAAACGACGGTTGCCATTTGTCTGTCAATTCTTCAGAGTTGATTTTTTCATTGGATTTATGCATGTCCGAATTGTTGTTGGTATCTTTTTGAATCTAAACAATATTTGATTAATAACAAAATAAGAAATTTATTAGGTAACTTACTAATTTGAATGAGCACCAGTCTAAAGCAAATCCGGCATCCCTGAAAAACCTTTCTACAGATGTGCGTTTAAAATCTCTCGGGCATGATTGCATTTTGTACAATGGACGAACCTCTTCTTGGAGTTCTAGTAGTTCTGAGGAAAACATCACTTCACTGCCCAATCTTAGTACTACACTATAAATGAAAATATTTTATACAAAAAAAATACAATTGTTTATTAAATACCCTTCTCCTTCTTTAGGATTTACAGGCTTTCTAGCTCCCATTTCGATGGCACTTTCAAGAAACGTCACATATAAATCGTCTTCTGAATCCTTCCATAAAAGTCCCTTGAAGATGTCTTTCAAAGCGTCCATACGGTCAACGTCAAACATATCGGCCACGTTTAGGTTGTCGATTTTCATGTGGACTTCGTATCTTGCCGTGTTTAGCTTTTCTTGGATTATAATTTGCACGTTTTCAACCCTGGAACAATGAGGGAAAATTATAGAATTTTCAGTTTTTGAGAAACAAGCTTACAATGCATATATTAATCCAGCTTCGAACTTTGGGATTCAATACAAAAAACCGAGCAAAAAACAGATAACAGAAGCTGAAAAATAACTCAAATATGAGAAACAAAATGTATTCAAAAATTATTCATAAACTACCGCAATAATTGTGTAAAACATTGAATATATGGACGCACTTGGTACAGTGAACACTGGTTAATATCTTCAACTCTGTACTGTAGATCAGCGTCAAAAACTTGAAAAATTCAAAAATATGGGGTTTGACGCACATCACATCCTGACACAGGAACTGGAGGCCCAGAGGGGTTTCATGGGAATTAAAGGAACTTTTCAGGAAATTAGTAGCAATCTGAAGAATTAGGTTCCTACAAAATACCTTTTTTGTGGTTGACCCCTTATGACAGACTGATCACAAACATGTCACAAGGCAAAAGACCTCTTCAGTTGACTTAAAATTATTCCAAATAAATCAAGATCAGAGTTGTTCAAAATGCCACGTTTATATCTTCATCCAATGGATTACACATGATTCATGATACACATGCCTGGCTGTCCAGAAAGCTCTTGAGATTGAATATACTGGCATTATTGGAAGTAATTTGCATAAGGAATTTTTGCAGATTTTAATCAATCTGCATACATTACCATGGGAAAAAGCTTTCAAATTTAGTTTAGAGCTTCAAATTTTTCACATTTTCAGTAAAATTTCAGTAGGATTCCTTAGGATTCTAGTAGGATTTAGTGGAATTCTGGTGTACATATTTTTTAAAGTGGTTTACCCCTCATGTTTTTCAAAATATTAATAGCATCTTCATTCATTCATAATTCAGCACTACTGTGGTTTACGGATTATCTATCGGTGAGACTACAATATGTTGAATGTGAAGGTAACAAGTGAAATGGAAAACATTGTACACGGAGCGCCCCAAGGTTCATTTCTGGGACCGACACTCTTCCTAGTCTATTTATTTATTTATTTATTTATTTATTTATTTATTCAAAGTATTAACAGCAGAGCCAATTACAGATACTGACTTAAGTAATAATACAAGAATACAGAAAACATTTAATATAACCTTAAAACCTACTTACAATCTTAATAAAGTTGATTAATCACAACATACAGAGAAATACAATTTAGGATGAATGCAGTTTCCTGTCAATTATCATTTTAAATGCCTTAAGACTAATAATGTCTATATACTCTATATCTACATCTGAGGCATAAAGGTTAAATAGATCAAACAAATTATAGATCAGAGAATATATACTTATAAAGATTGGTTCTAGGGTAGGCCAAGTAAAAGACATTTTTACTGCTTGAATTAATACGATTTACAGCAAAAGGAAACTGTTCTAAAATACTTGGGCAGTCAATATTATTGGTAAAAACCCCATACATAGTGCATAAGAATGTTCTTATCCGCCTTTTCTTCAGTGACAGTCTACTGAACACACCCAACAAATAGTCATTGCTACAGCCACGCTGGGGATATATTACGCTGCCTTATTCTAAGATGGGCACAACGAGACTGTCAAAGAGAGATAAACTAATGTCAATACTACAAAATTTTGAGTGTCTTGTAATGAAACCTGATACCTTCTGAGCACTAGAAATTTTTGACAAAATATGTCCCGAGAAAGACAAAGCAGGATCAAAAATAACTCCCAGATCTTTTTGCTCAGACACTCTTTTCAGTTTTACATTTCCTACAGAATAATCACAAATGACAGGATTTTTATTGTGTGTGAATGACATGCATACAGATTTTTCAAGGTTCAACTCGAAACTATTCTCAGAACACAATGCGACAATATCAGACACCTCTGTCTGGAGCACTGCACAATCCGTGATTGATGAAACTTCAAAAAACAACTTCAAATAACCAGCAAAACCAAGTGACTCAACATTCCTTACTCCCAACAATACCCTGTTAAATGCGATCAAAAAGAAAAGTGGACCCAGGTTTGACCTCTGTGGAATACCTGATGTGCTGATAAAAACTACCGATCTACAAACCTTAATTTCAACATACTGACATTGTTTACTTCGGTCAGTACCCAAGTATGGATGAATCAAATCGATTATAATTTGAGGTACATCCATATCTTCCAGGCTTCTCAAGATTATGCCATGCTGGACTTTATCGAAAGCCTTTTCTAAATCAGTGTATACAACATCAACTTTGTGAGAAGGTAGCGAGATTCGTAAATGTAGACCATGTTGATTTAAGGCTATTTTATCCTTGACCTCAGCAAAGAGCGAGCATGTTGAAGATGGAACTCCATCAGGCCCTATTGAGTTATTTCCCTTCAACCTTCCAACTGCCACTTTTATATTACTAGACGAGATGATTCTGTTATAAAAATATTATTTTGATCTGCCGCCAGAAGAGGTTGCGCACGAATCTCCGCCATCTATATAGACAGAGTAGTAGTCAGCAAAACCATTAGCAACTTGCTGGGTACCATGATAAGTAGTATCGTCCAATGTCATCTCATCCAGGACATCCGGTTTATCCTTTAAACAGAGATGCTGACTACACAATCAGTAAAATTTTAAAAAAGCTGTATTTTTTCAATAGAATTTCGAATTCTCTTTCTATGTACCTATGCAAGAGTAACGTTTTATAATTGCATAATAAGGCCTCATTTTGAATATTGTGCCTCTTTAATGTACCTATTTGATCAAAATCAAATATCCCAGCTGCAAATTAAAGAAATGAGAACTAAGTATTCTAAAGTGCAGTGGATATCTATTGAAATTATGCTACAAACACTTCAATCTTCAACAGTCTATAAGAGACTCTATTACTTGAGCATGGTTTCTATTTTTGAAATTGTTAAGGAGCAGAGCCCAAAATATTTTTCTTAATTTTTAATATGTAATAATTGAGTTCACAACCATAATACAAGGACACAGAATAACTTCTATATTGCTAGAGCTAACCTGAAAACTCTTTGTTTTTTAATGGGTTGGATGCTTATTATAGTTCGCCTTACCGAGTCTAGCACTACGACGTCTGAAGGGCAAGAGGGAATAACGCCATTCATTTCGAGCTTTATGCTGCCTGTCATAGGCGTGCGCGCAGCGTTTTTGAATATTATTTTTTCCTTATAAATGTAGGTGTGTAACATAGATAAATATTAAAGTATTTTCTATTGGAAGTCAAATAGGCAATATTGCAATTTTTTTATCCGCATTCTTTCCTTAGTGCTAGATTCGTAAGGCGAACTTCATAACCTACCAGATCATATAAAAGGATCAACCAATGTACACCAATTTAGGAAGGAGCTAGGTATTAAATTTTATCTGAACTGTGTAACTACTGGATTTATCATGCTTTGCTGGCGTAACGTTGAGTTACTTGATTATTTGGATTTAAGTCTATTGTATATTATGTGAAAATTGGTATAAAAGTAATACTTAATGTTACTCTGAAAGTAAAACTCTAGATTTGCGTCAGCTGTACTGTCTGGAGTCTGGAGATTCTTAAAAATATCAAGAAAGAAAAAATTACTTTCAACATTGGCCAAAATGCTTCTACAAGACGTCACTTTTTAGCATACCCGACAATATCCCATAAAACTCATGGCCAAAGAAGTCTAAAATATTATTCGCCAAGACTGTATAATATGCTTCCAAATGACATAAAATTAATAGAAAGCTGCAAATCTTTTAAGGTAAAAGCTAAAAACTGAATATTTTTGAAAGGTAGACAGGTTACAGCAATCTTGGAAATCATTTTGATTTTCATGGCAATCTTCGAAATCCCTTAAATTCTCATGGCAGCCCTGGAAATCGCAATGATTGCCAACTCGATTGCCAAGAAATCATAGGATTTCCGCAATACGTGTACATTTTTAAGAGGAGTGGTTTGCCCTACTCCCCGCAACACATGTAAATTTTATTTATTTGTCACTCATTTGTAAAACGTCACTTATCAAGTCAAAACATAAACAACGAAAATTGATTTTTACAAGCTACTGGCTCTACTGACTTGTAAAATTGACAGCTAAACTGTAAAAACTTTTTACAAGTCAGTAGAATTATTTATTTTTAAAAAATCAGTTTTATCACAAGAATAATTGCTTGTAGGTACCTTCTGGTAGACTTTTCTGGTGGTAAACTATTAGCTACGACTGTAGCTTCATTATTAATATCATCTAGCACATTCATTTCTGGAAAAAAATTGCAAAAAATGGAAATCTGTCAGTAAAGCTATTTTTAACTAGAAACAACGACTTAACAACATCTCATTCTCATAGGTATACCAACTACCAACTTGTATCAGAAAAAATTAAGGAAAAACGTATAAATTTCAAAATTTTGTTATGCATTAATTTTTTATTTGTCCCTATATCTTTTACAAATGAGTAACAAATAAATTATTGTACATTATACGCCAGGTAGCAGTTTTTACTGGCTCTTGAAGGTGACAAGCTCGCCTGACGGCTCGCTAGTCATTTCCTTCAATCGCCAGTAAAAACTGTTTTACCTGGCTAATAATGTAAAATACTATTAAATTTTTTGGAAATCACAAGGAAATTTTGCAGTCTTCGTTAGACAGTCGCCAAAATAGTCCGAAATCCCGCATTCTTCTTCGCATTCGCAGAAATCACGTTCGCAGTCGCCGAAATCATGTTTGCAGTCGCGGAAATCTTGTGAATGCGGTCATAGGGGCTTGTCTAAATTTCTTGTCGCAGCCTCCGAAATCACTCGAAATCAATGTGGCAATCGCAAGTATTTTTTTTCGCAATCATTTCCGCAGTCCTGCAATAATCATTTTGCAGTCCCGCAATCTTGGAAATCATTTGGATTTTCATGGCAATCTTCGAAATCTCTTAAATTCTCATGGCAGCCCTGGAAATCGCAATGGTTGCCAAGAAATCATAGGATTTCGGCAATACATGTACATTTTTTAGAGGAATTTCATTGATGCAAAGATATAATATTTTTTTGTATATTAGGCATGTCCTAAAATAAAAATATATTATTATTATAAATAAGAAAAAATTTCACTTCTTACAAAATATCTTTACTTTAGAAATAGGTACCTACCATTTCACGAGGGGTGAACCACTAGTGGAAGTGGAAATCATTGTAAATTTTTTTGGGAATCACATAGTAATCAATCAGGAGTACATGGAAATGGAATCCAAATGGAAATCACTTGGAAGTACCTGGGGATCGCTAGGAATCTCCCAAGACTCAAGACTCCATGGGAATCGTTGAGAATCATGTGATAATCGCTGGCAATATCATGTCATTTCAACCCAGAAATCGCATATCATACATTTTGAACGATACAGTGTACCAGTCAGTTGTGTACTTGCCTTTGAGACTAAATTTTAGGCAACATTGAGCGCTAAACAATTTGAAATGAATTTGATATCCCAACAAGTTTCCCAATAACTGAGCCAATAGTTGAACCCTAGACTACGAAGAGTTTATTGAAGAAGAAGAAGAACGAGATGAAGATTAGGTCTGCTCTTACAGAAATAACAAACCAGTCAAAGTGTTTTTGATTGGAGATCATAAAAATGAAAACATGAATCTTGAAACCTTTTCCGAATCCTAATGGCCAAAAGAAGACACGGAATTTAGTCACACATCAGGGTTTAGCAATTTTGATTTGCTACAATTAAGAGATTATTCAGGGCTCAACTTCAATTTAGTTTTTTACAGAGAAGCAGGGACGTTTGTCAATCGAGTATTAAGAGATATGAGAATATCCCTGAGAAAGACACAAAAGAGAAAGTGGAGAATCCAAGGCAATAAGAACTTGAAGAGGGAAAGTATAATAAATACTAGGCAGGGCAAGGAGCAGAGATAATAGCACATCTAAATCAGAATCAGAAATGAATTTCTTGAGTGAAATCCTAACTGAAGATGTCTCTGTTTCAGATGAACATCCAAGTGTAATTCATCAAAGAAATATCCATTATTTCAGATCGATATATATATAATATTATTATTGACTTGTGTAAGCACACTGTGTAAAAACACCAATAAAGAATTTGAATTTGAATTTGATATTAGGCAATGGTATCTAGGGCTCAAGAACTGTTTAAGTATACCTACAACAAAATTGGTGTGGGTGTGGACAACCATGAAAATAAAAGTTGCTAACTTCTGGAAAAGTTGCAAATACAGAAATGGCCAATTTTTTAGTGGAAACATATTTTTATAAGAGAAAAGTCTGTTTTTGATCATATCAGTGTGAAGCTTAACAGTTAGACATCTTTTTCGTAATGAAATCAGCTGGAAATCAGGTAATCAATTGGGAATGATATAGGAATCTCTAGAAAAAATGGAAATCTCCTGGTAATCAGATAATCATACAAAAAATCTAAAAATCATTAGCAATTAGTTGCAGTCTTGGGATGGGAATACACGAGATTCATTGATCAGTGATTGCCAAATATGGAAATCATTGTACATTTGTAAAGCTGGGCTCAAATGACTCGTGTACTTGACGAATAATCGTTACTTGCGTATACTTGCCATGTCGTGTGAGTGGGTTACTTGTACAATTATTTGTCACTCGTTGGTTTTCCATTTCTTGTCGGTAAAAATGTCCCGAGTCGAAGGGATCACGATTATTCGTACACTTGCCAAGTTCATATTAGTGTCTATACTTGTAGAGGCGCTCAAACGAAATGCACAAATAATTGGCTTTTACTGCGACTATTTCATTTAGTTTTCGACGAGCATTAAGGTCTAGCCAAATGTTCGCGCTCTCTGAGCCCGGCTCAATCATACTTGTTAGTTTTAACATTGATATTACATACATAAATAGATAAATCATTTAAATGATCTTAAGCCGGGCTCAGACGACTCGTGTACTTGGCGAATACACAATTATTCGCGTACTTGGCAAGTATACTAGCTTTGCGAATTGCGATGGCAAGCAGGGCGCTCACACGACCAATTTACAAGTACGCGAGCGCGAACATTTGGCTAGACCTTGATGCTCGTCGAAAACTAAATGAAATAGTTGCAATAAAAGCCAATTATTTGTGCATTTCGCTTGAGCGCCTCTACAAGTATAGACAATAATATGAACTTGGCAAGTGTATGAATAATCGTGATCCCTTTGACTCAGGACATTTTTACCGACAAGAAATGGAAAATCAACGAGTGACAAATAATTGTACAAGTAACCCACTCACACGACATAGCAAGTATACGCAAGTAACGATTATTCATCAAGTACACGAGTCGTTTGAGCCCGGCTTTATAAGAGAATAAATTAATCGAGAAATTAATTTAAATTGAGGTGAATTTCTGTCTCTGGCAACTCTAAGCAAGTAAAACTAATGAGACTTCATGAACTCTTACCTAGTTTCATAGCTCTTCTTATTCAACGCAACAATATCCAATGGAATAACAGTCTTACTGTGACTGGGAGGAACCCCGTACAAAAACCCAGCACGGTGTCTGTCGCTGTAAACATAATGCACCCAAGAAGGCAAGTCTGGAGAGTCGGCTAAAGATGCTTCATAAGTAAACTGATCCCGTCTACCTTCATAGGTCCAGTTGAACATTGGAGGATCCAGGATTATGGCAAAAACTTCGGTCATGAGGACATTTTGGACTTTTGTAGCTTGGTTTAATGGGATTTGTAGTAAAAGGACAATGAGGAATTGTATTTGAGTCATTATTGCTTGATTTATTAATTTTGAAGAAAAAATCAATGTTTATTTGTTTATTGAAGATTTAAATAGAATCAGCTGATTTTGACAGATCACTTGCGCGCCATCTCTGGGCTACCATAGTAAAATACAGGAATCTGTAATACAATTTAGTCAATTATATAAAATTCTGGCCTAAATCTTCCTAATTGAAATCAATTATATTATTTAATTAGTTTTATCAATAATCCATAATGCATAAATGCAATAAAATTTGTATTAATTATTAATTATTTGTCAAATTGTCGTTGCAAGTGCTGCCCTCAGTTGTAGTAACGGCCGATATCGGCGTAAGTCAGATCTGTCAAAATTTGGACTCGCCCCATTGTTTAACAAATTCGGATGTTAATTTTATCGGGGAAATATTGAATTAAATTCGCCGTTTTTGTTAATGAAATTATGCAATTATAGTGAGTAGACGGTCGTCGGTTTCCTTTACAGTGAATAAGTTTGGTCTGCTGAAAGTTCAAAATGGGTAAGTCAGCTTCAAAGGTGCCGGTTCTCCAGGAAAAAACTGGACTTTTTTTTCCAACTTCAACTTTGGCCTTAATTTAAAAGGCGATAAATATAATTAACCTGGCCTGCCCCTCGTGTTATTATCTCGTAATGATGATACGAGTTTTTTTTGAAACGATATTTTAATGTCCCAAGGCAAGATTTTCTTAATGTAGGTAAATAAATGGATTTTGCTTTGTTGGAATCTTCAGGTTTGGGAACATTTTGGTCCACAAGCCTAGTGTGAGTAACATTAGGGTCAGTTCAGTGTACCATTGATATGGAGGTTGATAAACTTTTGATTTGGATAATCCTTAAAATTCAAATATTGATGCACAGAATAATTAATTACTTCCAGCTTGAAATTTTAAATTGAAAAGAAAATAAATCTTATATTAAGTAGATACTTATAGGTGTATTTTTGTATTCACCAAAATTGCCAAAACCCAACAACTTGTTTAGTTACTGTAGTCTGTTATTTGTTTGGTTAATTGACCCCCTACTGCTTAAAGCGAGGCTTAAACAATTCAAAGCTAATTAAAAGTTAATTAGAATTAAATAAGAGGATGAAGGGGTTTTGGATATATGTATAGGTACAGGTAGCTAACTTTGATTATAGATAGAAAACTGAAATTTTCAATGATTCTCATCCTTATGGAGGACTACAATCCCTGAAAATTTCAACTCATGTGGAATTATAGTTTCAGAGTTAAAATCGCGTTAAGCGTGAATTTATCAATTTTTCAAGTGAGAATACTCTTCTCGACCTGTTTTGTCTTGTTTTTTTTTTTCCAATATTAAACAACTTTTCATCAATCTTGATTAGTCTATTTTATATTTTATATCTATTTATAGGTTTGTATTTAAGTCTCTTTACAGAAGACTCAAAGTACTAAAAAAAAGAAAAACTAAGATGAAAATTGAGAACCGAGTTGAGAACTATCAGAGTCAAAATCTAATTTTTAGTTTACTGTATAATCATTCAAATACACAGGAGGCCTTCTCCTTCTATTCTTAGTTGACTGATTCATGTTTCCAAGAGAATTATTAGATTCTTGTCTTGATGTCTCTTTTACATTGGTATCAGAAGTGTCAGAATTTTGCTTGGAATGTTGTGATTGAAAACAGAATGTTTACAATCTGAGTCACTATCGTGCTGTAGGTGAAGCAAAATAAGGAAGACAAAAGTCTCTATTGAACATATTATCATTGTCGCCCTGAGCATTCTCAGAATCCATGAATAAGTTTACATCATAAAATTGGTTTATATTTGTTTTATTTAAAATTTAAGTACTTAATAAACCTTTTGAATCTTTAACCCTATAAGATCTATCATTAACAATATCTTCCACTTTACCCCTTTCCCACACTTTTCCTTTTTGTATCAATACATTTTCACCTTTTTTTTTTAACTTTGGCAGATAGATCTTTAGCATTTCTATCAAAAATACATTCTTGAGTTTGTTGTTCACTTTCCAATTTATTTTAAATGAGAATTTGATCTAAAACTATAGGCTTTAAACTTTCAGTAGAAGTTGGTGGGATTCTATGTAGGTAGGAATAATTGGGTAGGAGAATAAGTCATGTTTGTTAATGGGGTAGCTTGATATTCCATAAAAAGTAAGGGCAGGTCTTTTTTGTTACTAATTTTTCTAAGCATCTCTTTAACTATACCAACACAGCGCTCAGCTAACCCATTTGATTTAACTTCAAAGTTCCATTCCCTGGCAATTTTTTTTAAAGTTACCTACTGAATTGTATAGAACCTTATCAGCAAAAAATCAAACTGAGAAAACTTATATTTACAAAAGCTGATGACATCAAGAGCTGTTTTAGTTCTAGTCTCAGATACCTCAATCCAATTCAAATAAGAATCTACAATCATTAAATAATTTTTATTTTTGTGCTCAAAAAAATCACTGAAGGGGTAAGAATTGCCATGCTCGTTCCCATGCAATCGTTATAAACTCTGTGTAGTCCGAGGTGCAGTCACATGCAGTAGCAACAGTAGCGTACATTCCATATACACTCGCAAAAAATTGTAAACAGTCGCTGTGAGTGGAGCCTGCAATCTTGTTAGAAATTGCTCGAAAGTCAATGCAGTCAACTATCATCTTTGATGCAATGCAATCAATGAAGTCAAATACAGTAGGTGTACAAAATTTAGTGGGTGAAACACCCCTCGGTCCAAACAATTCATAACTTTTTCTCTGAAATAGTTCTGGCGCGCTTGAAATACCAAATGGCAAACGATTGAATTTATACCGCCCATAGAACATCATAGATCTGGACTTTTTTGATTCAATTTCAGTTGCCAATGAATACCCATCATTCATATCTATAACAACCGTGAATATAGTTTTACTTGTCAACTTACTTATTATATCTCGAGTTATATCTGTACTAGTTGGAATCATATCATGATATCTCTTCATATATTTGTTCAAAGGTTTATGGTCAATACAAATTCTTAGCTCGATTCTTAGTGATTCAATATTGTAAAATCCTGGAATTTCCCTGTATTTTGTATAGATTTCATCAAATATCTGTGAAATATCTACTCTTTTAAGCAAGTGAAATCTTAAACAATCTTTCAAGTCCAAAAGTGGTTCAGCATTAAAATCAACTATGTATTATAAAATTCATGTATGAAACTGAAACTAGTGTTGTAAAATGCTCGAAAATTTATGTTTGGAGAACGTTCTCTGAGCACGAATGAGAATGAACGAGAATAATGAGCATGAAAGAAATGGAAAATAAAAAAAATGAAAAAATTTATATATATTTAACCTGATATTTGGTAGATCTATAAATGAAATGTTTCTATGTGTCTAGGAGATAGACCGTCAGATAGTGACATATTTAGGTGCCCCATTTTCGCATACAAGCCTCGAAGAGAAATGAAAAGTACATCGATTTTGAGTAGGATGAAGGTATTTCCACGAGTGGCTCCTGGGGATGACATAATAATATGGAAAATTCGATTTTACTTATGTTTCCCTAAAATGTACTTTTCCATTCGCGACACTCGAGACAATATGTTTTCTTGCTACCAATTTTGTAGATTTTCATCCTTCCAATGGGCTTGTGTGAAAAAATCGTCCAAAATCTCGATTTTTCCTTACATTAAGCCCTTATTTCAAACCTTTAGCCACCTGCAACACCCCCTTCTTTGTTCTCACGAAGCCAGGATTTGTTATTTAATCCTTTGGTGAACATGGCTTGTGAGAAAATATGGGCACCAGGATCTCTTTCATTTCTGTTATGGAAAATCGAATTTGCCATATGTTATACCAGGAGGCACCCGTGAAAATATCTTCATCCTATTCAAAATCGATGTACTTTTCAACCCTCTTCGAGGCTTGTATGAGAAAATGGGGCACCTAAATATGTCACTATCTGACGGTCTAACATGACGAACTTATGGAAGCCATCGATTTTAACACAAAAAACTGGAAGGTATTACACTACACTTTTTTCTAAACATTTTCAATAAAAAGTAAACACTATACTAATATAGGTTTGTTCGCATAAAAATTGCAAACTAGTCAGAGTGGATTTCATTAGTTGAAACTAGTTTTCTGATTGTTTCTTACTGTTTTCAACCAATGAAATTCGCTCTAACTGGTTTCTGATTTCTGTGCGAACAGACCTATTTACACACTTTAAACTAAATACTAATTGAAAAACCGGCAAACAGAATGACAAAAACTGGCATGTAAATCTCTGAAACCAAATCCTGGGTCGGCTGTCGACTGGCGGGAATTTTTCTCGATCCCGGACCCCAGTGTTGGAAAATATATGTTACGTATTATGCTAATTTTTATCAAGGAACGTTCTCGTTCGTGCTGATTCGTGCTTTTGAGAAGGAACGTTCCCACTAAGTCTTGAACGTTCGTGAATGTTCGTTGAGAATAAACGGGAACGTTCCATATGTTACAACACTATATGAAACTATACATCCCTGTGAGAACATTCTAAATTTACCTCACCCATAGGTTTAAACTTGAAATTGAGAAACTGAAGTACTTAATTGTTGACTTTTTGAATGAAGGTTTGTTTAAAATATTTTGAAAACTACTTAATGGTAGGATACTAATGTCCAAACCAGAATCAAGATTGAATTTTACCTTAAGTCCTTGTACTTGGATAACTTCATACCACGAATGCTTCAGTGTTTCACATTTATTTATGAATAATAGCTATTTATATAACAAGTACATAAAGTAAGGCTTTATTGTACGAATAATTTTATGGCCGAGCGAGCTTGCGAGCGAGGCTATTAAATAATGAGTCAATAAAGCCTGTTTATGTAAGCGTTATATACATGATTTTATGTACGATTATGACTGGTTTTTGTTAAAAATTAAAAAAATTTAATGAAAAAAAGTGAAATTTGCCTAGGTTTACCTGTTTCACCTTGGCAGGTTGTCAGGACCTGTTTCAACTTGTCAGGTAGGCAATAAAGTAGCACTTTATTTTACTAGTAAAATAATATAGCACTTTATTTTACTAGTACAATAAAGTGCTACTTTATTGACGCAAAATTGTTCTATAAATAGCACTTTATTGGTCAATCGGACATAAAGTACCTATATTATCCACTTTTATCATCTTGTTGGCTGTTCAATATACCTTATTCTTCTATTTATACTTTGTTGCTCAAATTTTACAGTTCCTTGATGGGCTTGAACTTAATTTTGCCCAGAACTCAGCTGGGTAGTGTTCATATTGGCATTTCTTACATTTTTATATTTCTTGGGTTTTTTAATAAAGTTTACATCTTCTTTGCTTCGAATTTCAACATATTGTTTGCTTAGCTCTAATATTTTCTTGATTGTTAGGTCTGTCTTTCGTAGGAGTCCTGACTGGCTTTTTTTACAATTAATACCTGCTATTAGTCTATCCCTAATCATTCTTTCTTCACATAACTCTAGGCACGAATCTTTGTTGAATAAATCCTAATTTTTTTTTCCACAG